ATAGTGGGAAAAATTCACATTTCCTTGTCCAAATCTGACATCTCCTTCCTGAGCTACCTCCTGGTCCCTGCTGCCTGTTCACCAGACGCCCTGCACAGCGACCTAGACCACTTCCGCAGCACAACTGAGAGGTATTTTTGTCTGTTGTCAGGGGTCTATAGCTATTTACTTTGGTGGTTGTCTGATCACTAAGACAAGCCCTTGGCACAGAATGGCTAAGAGCACACAAAGAGGAAAGGAAAGCTACCTGCCATTCCGCCACTCATTCCTGTCATTTTAGGCTTTCCAGGCGTGTGCCTTATTTTTCACACTACTGTGTTCTATGTTCTCTTTTCTCTTTTTTTTCCCCTTCGATGGTCCTGGGGGTCAAACTTGAGTCCACACGTATCCATGCAAGCGCTCTGCCTAGAGACACAGCCTAGCCTCTCTGTTTTCTTGAATATGCTGCTCTTTACACAGCTTCATGAAGCCAGGTGCAGTGGGTGCAGCAGGAGGAAATTTGAGCCGAGGAGTTTGAGTCCAGCCTGGCAACATATCAAGAACCTTCTAGCGAAACACATGAATAAAATAAAAATAAGAAAAAAAGCTTCCTGCTGCATCACGCACTGTATCTGTGCATCTTGGTGCTGAGGCTCCCTGCTTGGCTGCAGGTGACAGCTCAGGGCCTCTGGGAGCCACAGGCTATGCTCCCCAGCTCTGCCTGTGCTGTAGAGTTCAGGGAGCACATGGCCACTGCTGGGCCGTGGAGGGCTTGGTGGTGACGAGCCTTTTGCATGGTTGGGAGGCCAGGACCAGGGCTTTTCACAGTGTTGCCTGTGGGTGTAACTTGCAAGCTTCTCTGGGCAGCCCTTCCCGAGCAGCTCTTCTGAGACACCTGGCTGCTGCCTCTCGCGTCCCCAGCCCCAGGGAATCGCTGTACGTTTTGCAAAGGAGGAGAAACAGTCGCAAGGACTCCTATGGAATCAGTGCCGGTGTTAGCAAGGATTGGGATGCATTAATACTCTGCGACTGTGGACCATGGGGCATATGGTGTTTAGAGGCAGGGCCCCTGCAGTTAGGAAGTTGCTCTTTTGTATTTAGATCCACTGTTGCCAGACAGCCTGGGTCCAAACCCCTGCTCTGCTGATATCTACCCTCGGGGCCCTGCATGGATCCTTAGCCAGGATCCACACACTGATGTCCCTCTGCCATCCAGTGTGGTAGCAATGATTCCCGTGGGAGTCTGTTGTGGGGATTTAGTGAGCACGCGGCTCCGGGGTGGGGCCCAGCACCCTGAGTCTCCCTGCCCCCTGTGTCTCTTGGGCTGGTGATGCCATCCAGCCCTGCAGGGTGCTCTTGTGCCTGTGCAGGTGGTGGCCACTTCCCCTCCAGGACATCAGCCACAGACAGTCTGACACATGGCATCTTGGGTCCCTTCTAGGTGGCAAGAGTACCTGGTAAACCTGTGCCAACAGTGCATGGAAGAGGGAGTCCACCAGTGGCTGGGCACCCTGCCGGTCCTGCACTACTGCATGCAGCTCTCCCCTGCCAAGAACGAGCCAGTGGTCCACCTGGAGGACACTTGGGCGGCCCTGGAAGGAATCCCCTTCTCGAAGTTTCGGGAAGACACAACCTATCAGTAAGTTGAGGAGCTGCTCTTAGAGAAACAAATATTAGAATAACAGCTCTGTCTTTTTGTGGTGCTGGGGGTGGCCCAGCACTCACAGCTGAGATGCAGGCCAGCCCCTGAATAGCCGTCCTGAAGCTCCGGTGGGGCACTCTACCTTGCCGCTCTTGAGACAAGTAATGTGATTTCTGTAAGCACTGTAGAACAGAAAAGCTACAAAGAAAAATGCAAAGTGACCAACAAGCCCAGGGGTACTCGTGGACACTGTGGTGTTCGTATCTCCATGTTCTGTCCACATGGGGGTATCTTGGGGTTTCACATGCTTAAGAGAACAGTGATGACAATGTACATAGTCATAGTTATTAGATGGGTGTAGTGGTACACACCTGAAATCCCAGAATTCTGGGAGGCTGAGACAGGAGAATTGCAAATTTGAGCTCAGCCCGAGAGTTTTATCAAGACCTTGTCTCAAAATAAAAAATGAAAAGGGCTAGGGATATAGCTCGATGCAAAGGCCCTGGGTTTAAAGAATATGTATAATTTTAAAAATATACTTACAGGGCTGGGGATTTAGCTCAGTGGTTTCGCCGCCTGCTGCACAAGTGCAAGGACCGGAGTTCGATCCCCGGTACCAAAAAATAAATAAATAAATAAAAATAAAATAAAATAAAATATACTTACATATGCAGTATTTATTGTTTTCAACCTAGTTTTTTACGTAAAAGTTATGCATCGCTTATCTGTGAGTGTGTGGGGTGCTGGGATGGAGCTGGGGCCTTCCGCACACTAGGCAAGTGCTCCACTCCCAAGCTCCACTCCCGGCCCCTGTGAACCACTGAATGTCAGTGTGCACACGTCCACAGTGTTAGGGTGCTGACAGCCGCAAATCCCACTCAAAGAATGTGCCGACTTTTGTTTAGACAATTCCCTGTCAGCATCTGGGTTATTTCTGCAGCTTCAGTTTATAAAATTTTTTTTTTTCTGATACTGGGCTTGAGCCCAGGGCCTTCTCACTGAGCTACCTCCCTGATCCTCAGACCTTACTTTATTTTTTATTTCAAGACAGGCTCTTGCTAGGGTGCCCTGGCTAGACTCAATTTGATTCTCCTGGTTCACCCTCCCACAGTGCTAGGCTTATAGGCCTGTGCCACCACTCCTGGCTATGAAAGGTGCTATGATAAGCATCCTCCTGTCTTCCCTGTCCAGTTGTTTTCTTGACATAAATTCCTGCAAGTCGAACTGCTGAGTCGAATACCTTGCATGTTGTAGGCCATTGTACCTTCTCTTGCTGTTGTCTTATAGCAGAGGAATAATCATGATGTGTGTCCAAATAGAAGGAACTACCCCTCATCACAGGAAAATACTACCAGGAAAAGTATTCGGGAAAACTTGGATACCTGGGCTTTGGCCTATTCAGATATATACTTAACGTCATTATTATTATTTTGTAGTGCTGAGGATGAAGCCCACTGCCCTAAGCATGCTAACTAAGCCCGACTAGACTGCAGGCCCTAAATATTTAATTAATTAACGTGCATATTTTAAAATGTCATGGTGGGTACGGTGACACATGCCTGTAATCCCAGCACTCAGGAAATTGAAGCAGGAGGATTGCCCTGAGTTTGAGGCCAGCCTGAATTACATAGTGAGACCCTATCTCAAAAACCAAAAAAAAAAAAAAAAAAAAAATCAGTATATGTTCTTACAAAATCATATTTAAGTTAATTAATTAATTTAGAGACAGGCTCCTGCTATGTAGTTCAGGCTGGCCCTTCACTCACTGTGTAGCCCAGGCTGCCCTCAAACGTGTGACGATCCTTCTGCCTCAGAAAAGAAAAAGCCAGAGGAAATATTTTTAGGGTTTATGCTGAGAATTTCCATATTTGATAATGATGCCAATCAGGAAACTTGGCAGACACCCAGCGGGACAAATACAGTGACCACACATGTATACAGCATGGTCACAGCTCGCTGAGAACCAAAGATAAGAAAGCAGCAGCCGCTGGGGAGACACTGCATCCGAGAACGTGGCGATGGACTTCTCGTTGGAAGCGGCAGAGGCCGGGAGACAGTGGGCCACCTCTGGTGTCCTGAATTTAAACACACGACCAAACGAAAAAAATTGTCAATTTTGGATTGTATGTCCAGCAAAAAATAACCTTCAAACTGAATAGGAGTATAGAGATCTCTCCAAATGAAAATGGAAAGAATTCATCTCCAGCAGACTTTGACCACAGGAAATGCGGCCTGAAGTTTTGTGGACGGAACTGGGCCGCGCGGCACACGTAGCCAGGACAGTGCTCGCGCAGGGCTGTACCCGAGCTCACTGCGCCAGGCTCTGTGCCCCAAGGAGACCTGAGGCCGTGTGCAGAAGGGACTGCAGGAGCCCAGGAAGGGAGACATGTTGGAAATACTAGTAAGGAGCTTTTCTTATTGTTGAATTTCTACGCACTTTAAATCTCTTTAAAGGGCTCCTGATTGTATCAAGTAAAACTAACTACAAAGGAGCATGATATAACAATAGAAAAGTAAAATATATGCAAGGAGTACAAAAGTCATTGGAAGTAGACGATTGTAAATCTTATTTTTTTCCTGAAATAATGTAATATTTTTGAAGAATACTTACTAGCATGTAAGTAAAAGATGTGTATTTTTCCAAAATGAGAAAGAAAAGTAGATAAACGTTACCCCGAGGAAGTTATACCCAGATGTCCAGTAGGCACACAAGAAGGTGTTAAGCATCATGTATTATTAGGGAAATGCAAATCAAAACCACCACGCGACAGCACACCCATTAGGACTGCTGCGATTTTTCTTTTTGTTTTTTTTTTTTTTGCTTTGTGCGAGACCATGTTATTAGGTACTATGAGGATATGGGGGATGGAGGATGGGTGATATTTGCCTCAGGAAGTTTTACATCTTGTGGGAAAAACAAAACATTCCACAAGTGACGAGATTTGTCAGCATTGGCCAAGAATTAATTTCCTCAGTTACAGATATTTGTTCACAGTCACTCTGCAGGTCTCATGGGCAGATGTCACCGAGGCTGGTCTGAGGAGACTAGGCTAGCTCAGCCTCCCGGCTACAGCTGCTGGTAAATGCCCAGCTTGCCAGCAGCAGGGGCCAGTGGTGAGCGCTGCATATGGCATCATTGTTTGAAGAGCACATGGTATCAGGATGATGATATCAGACCTCCTCCAGCCTCCAACTGGTGATCTCAGTGGAAGGCCTCTGAAATGATATAGGGGAAAAGATGTAACTCCCTAACCTACTAGATATCCGAAACAAGAGTTCATGTTCTCTAAACTTGAAGAATGAATTCTAGGAACAATGGAGGTTAAGAGTAGGAAAAATTTATTGAAAGAAAGAAAGCTTCTAAGAGAGACAGAAGGGGGACCGGAGAGTGGGTTGGCCTGCTGCTATTTTTCAAAAACAGAAAATAACTAGCAAGAGCAAGGATGTGGAGAAGCTGAAGCTTTTGTGCATCACTGGTGGATATGGAAAATGATGGATCACCAAAAAAATTAAGCATAGACTTCCCACAAGATCTGGCAGTTCTACTTCTGGATACGTATCTCTAAGAGGCAAAAGAAAGGACACAAATAGGTACTTGGACACTTGTAGTTCACAGCAGCATTATTCACAGTTGCCAAAAGCTAGAGGCAACACAAATGTCCACAAAATACATACCTGTTGCATGCATTTCCTGGAGAGACCTAGGGGAAACATCTGCCTGCAAGCCAAGAGGGGCCAACAGAGCAAAGAACATCGCGGACAAGTCCTGTGAGGTGAGCATTTTCAGGGCTTCTGTAGAGGAGTGGACAACTTGTGGGCTGCTGCACTGCTGAAGTCACCAACCCCTGTTCTAGGCTACTGGTTTTCCAGGGTACTGATTTAAATACAGTAAAAACAGGATCAAAAGCAAGAAGAGTCCCTGGGACCCACCCCATTGTTACCAGGAAATTCCAGTGTCTCAGCAAGCGCCATCTAGCCTGGGAGGAGTGACCTTGTGATATACCTGCCCTGCCACCCACACCTGGAGGTGGCCGCTGTAAGATGGAGTGCTCTGGCTCGGGTCAGGAGGACTATTCTCATTCAGTACACAGATGGTGGAGTATTACTCAGCCATGGCAGGAAGGAAATTCTGGCCCATGCTACAACCTGGACATACACAGAGGACATTCTGCGAAGAGAAATAAACAGACCACTAAAAGACAAAGGCTGTGTGAGTGCACTTATATGAGGTCCCTGGAGTCATCAAATTCATAGAAACTGAAAGAGTGTGTGCAACAGCCAGCGTTCTGGTGTTTATTTGCCAAACAGTGTGAATTAGGTAACATTGAACTGTACCATAAAATAGCAGATTTCTGCTTATGCCTTTATCTGCCGCCTGCCTTGCAAGCGCAAGGTCCCGAGTTCGATCCCTGGTACCAAAAACAAAAAACAAAACAAAAAAATTAACTTTAAAAAAGCAGTGGCTATTATAGCTGGAGGGCATGGTTTCGCACCTGTGGTTCTGCTGTGTTTGGGACTGGATTGCTCCATGTGATGAGACTGTTCTGGGTATGGGAGGGTGCTTTTGCTTTTGGCTTTGGCTTTCTGAGACAGAGTCTAGCTGTGTAGTTCAGGCTGGCCTTGAGCTCACTGTGTAGCTCAGGCTCACCTCAAGTTTGTGGCTATTCTCCTGCCTCTGCCTCCCATGGGCTGGGATTACAGGTGCCTATCTGGGAAGGTGACGCCCTGGTCCCCACCTACAAGAAGCTGCCAGGCTTACCTCCCTCCCCTAGGTGTTCAAATCACCTATGTCTTGGGATGTCGCCGGGTGTCTCCTGGGTGGGGACCAGAGGACACACACACACACACACACACACACACACACACAACTGCTCTGGCACATGCAGGAGAAAGGACTCGTCAAGTGCAAAATTCAAAGTTGAACAAAAGATAAAGTGGAAGCTAGGAAATACACATTTCTCCAGCTGAAGAGGCAGACTAGAGTCACAGAGGATGAGGGACAAATATGTGGAGACAAACGTGCATCAGACGGGGTGGGGGGTGGGATTAAAACCAATACTGGAAGCGATGAGAAGAGCAACAGGTGATTCCATGATTCTGGGGTGTCGCGCTCCTCCCCAATACCAGACAGAACAGTGGGGTAGATACAGAAGGTGTGGGAACACTTCTGACCAGGCAGACCCAGCCGCACCTGTAGGCCACGCCACCCCACACCTGCAGGGCACAGGCCCGTCTCAGATTTTCCTGGGGCTTGCAGAGGTGGACTGCGTCCAGGGCTGGATGACTCCACACATTGAAGGGTGTTAAAGTACACTGAGCGGGGCATGGTGTCGAGTGCCTGTAATCCCAGCACCCTGGAAGGCAGGGGCAAGAGGGTTGCAAGTTCAAGTCCAGCTTGGGCAATTTAGCCGCTTAGAAGACGCCTTGTCCCAAAGTAAAAAGTAAAAAAGGGTCGGGGATGTAGCTCAGTGCAAAGGCCCTGGGTTCATTCACCCGTGCCACAGCAAAACAGTACAAAAGAAAGAATGTCATATTGTGGCAGCATGTTCCTTAACTACAGGTGAGCAGAAGGAAAACCATCTGCAAAATCACTAAACATTTGGGAATTTAATAGCAGACTTCTAAGTAGCCTAATCTTCAGGCAAGAAAAATTTTTTAGAGAAGACTCAGAAAGCACACCCTATAAAAGAAAAATTATGAGAGGCTGGCAAGTAGTAGCTCAGTGGTGTGGTGGAGTACTTGGCTAGCAGGCATGAGGCCCTCCATTCCATCCTCAGCACTGCAGAAAAGCGAAAGTCAAAACAAAATCATATTTAAGTATAACAATTAAATTTAAAAGGTCTACATTGAACATGAAAATACTACCACTCATTTTAATGACAGGTAACCTACCCACCTCCATTTACTTTGTTTTTTTGTTGTTTTGTTGTTTTTTTGGTACTGGGGATTGAACTTAGGACCTTGCGCTTGTGAGGCAGGCACAGTACCATTGAGCTAAATCCCTAGCCCCCCCCCCATTTACTTTGTTTTTTGTAGAAGAAACTATTCCAGAACTCATCACCTAACCCCAGTCCGCTAGCAGCAAACCTGAAGATTTTAGGGATTAAAATAGTAAGCTAAATTGAGTTCTTGTTTCTTCACTACTATCTGAACCTTTTGAAATTAAAGCCACCTCAAAACTATTTATGTAAGTGTGTGTTTTAAGTGTCCTTCAAAGATGTGTAGACCATCTAGAAGAAATTTAGCTGTTAACATTGGAAAATGACAGCACGGCGCTACAGACCTGTCCTCCAGGTAAAAGTGACCCTGAGGGGCTGGGATGTGCCTCAGTGGTAGAGTACTTGCCTAGCAGGCATGAGGACTTGGGGTTCGATCCCCAGCACTAAAAATAAAAAAAATTGTACCTAGCCCTTAGTACATAGTGAACCTGTACGGATGTTTTTCATAACCTCTGTCACTTCCTTGCTTTGTTAATTTTTTACTTGTCAAGCTTTTGGGTCTCCAGTACAGAGCTGCAGAACCAGCCTTGTTTGTTTACAGACCCTCACTGAGCTCATCTGCTTAGTTTAATCCAGGATACTCATGAATTCATCAGAAGACCTCGTTCCTGCTGAATTCTCTCTCTCTTTTGTATGCAGTGCTGGGGATCAAACCCATTGCCTCATGCGTGGCTAAGCAAGCCCTCTACCACTGAGCTACACCTCAGCCTCAATTCTTCTTTTTAAAATTCTAGTCTAACATACATAACTGAGCATGTGACGCTCTTGGAAGCGTTCAGCTTGGAGGCATTATGCACATCACCTGGCTGTGTGGCTGTTTCCACCCTCCATCTCCAGAAACTCTGTTCCCGACCCACATGACCCCCACCATCCTACTTTCTGATGTGTGAGTGTGACCACCGAGGAATCCCCCAGTGTGTGTCCCTTCGTGGTGGCTGCCTCCACTCCACATAGCACCCACAGGGTTCCTCCATCTTAGCAAATTCTTAAGACGCTGCTCTTTGTGTTTCATTTCCATGGGACATTGAAATCATGTTTAAAGTCTGAGCTTTTTTGGCTTGGCTTTGCGTTCCTTTGTGGTCTCACTGAGGCCCTTCTCTCTTGCTGTTTTCTTACTCAGGAATGAATTGCTGCAGTTTGTGGAAAAGAAGAAACATTTGCTATATGTGGATGACTACCTTTTCCGGTCCTGGTTTAGTTTGCTGCCTCTGAGAGCCCTGGCTCAATACATAGAAAAGGCCACCGAGTTCCTGACCCTTGTGCCCGCTCACGTGCTGGACTGTTTCCTGGGGCTCGACTATCGGCTGGCAGAACTTCAGATCTCTCACCAAAATGTGGCGGTGTGTGAACCTCTGGGGCTGGTGATTCTCTCCTAGAGGACAGATGGGGTCGGAGGAAGCACTGAGAAATAAGAGAGCCAGAAGGGGCCATCATATTTTAGGGTCCAAAGTTTGATTTCTCTAAGTTTGTTTTGTTTCGCTAAATACAACTGAAGAGAATAATGGCCTTTGGTTATGTACGACCGTGTGAGGCGGAATGGGCAGGCACTGTGGACAGGACCTGCTTCCTCGCTGCTGCCTCTCCTTTTACAAAGTTTTGGGAGTAGAAAATGGTGTCATCTTACATCCTGAATTTTATCGGTGAGACAGGAGGTTGGTGCTTGGGGACTCGAAGTCCTGTCTGTAGGTAGAAGAAAGTGATCACACACTGTTCAGGTACATTCAGCTTTGCCTCTCCCAGGATAGCATGCGGTGGTTCATCTGTCCTTTCCCCTTCTCTTCACGATCTAGGATGTCGAGAATGTTTTTAAGAAGCTGTTGCAACTCGTGGACACTTACCATGGCGTGTAAGTAGAAAAGGCAGGTGCAGCCTTCTCCTGGGTGGTACCTGTTACCCCTGCTGATTGGCAGTGTCTCACACTTGCTGTCAGGACAGAAAGGTCACCAACGAATATATACACTCCCTTCTCTTTTCAAGTTACCAATGTAATCATTTAATTTTTTAACAAGGAATTGATAGCTGTCAGCTGCTGAGATTTTGTTTTGTTTCCATCTGGTCTTGTTTCCCGTGTGTTTTAATGTGTTTTTAAATGATCGTCATCTTTGTGGATATTTATATTTGTGTCCTGCATTATTTTTCTTCTCCTTTGGTATTGGAATTTGAACCCAGGGCCTTCACTCTGAGCTCTGTCATCTACATCCCTGGCCTTTTAAAAAGTATCTTAACTTTTTTTTTTTTGCAGTGTCAAAGATCGAACTCAGGACCTTGCACTTTTGAGGCAGGCGTGGTGCCACTGAGCTAAATCCCTGGCCCAGTATTTTAACTTTTGAGACAAGTTCTCAGGTTTCGAAGTTGCCCAGGCGGAACTCAGACTTGTGCTGGGATTACAGAAATTGCTGCCACACCCGGCCTCGTCCTGCATTTTTTAACATTTAGTGTTTATAGGTCTTTTGCAAGTCAGGTCCTTTAAAATGAAAATCTCAGGTGGCTCTGCATAATTATCTGAAATCATTTATCTTGTCCCTCTGTGTGCCAACTACTGCTTGGAGGGACAGCATATAGAATGCAGAACAGAGCTGTGTGTTCAAGGACCGAGGTTTTGGGATTCCTGTCCCTTCCGGTGTCCCCTGCCCGGGTCCTTGGTGTGTGTGCATTGCAGGTGGGCACCAGGTCTCCGTGCACATCACCTACCTGGGACGTCATGGAGCTGCCCCAAGGGCCTCTGTATCCCTGCTCTCACCCTCTCCGAACTCCTGTCAGTAAACACAAAATCAGGTCCACGGGGGTTGGATGAAATTCCACACACCCCACGTGTTTCTTGCTCTAACCCCTCCCTGCCTGGAAGCTGAGCTGATTTTCAGGTGTATATAGTATTTTCATAATGAGTGGTATACATCCCTTGCTCTTTTTCAGAATAAGGGCGTGTGGTTGCAAGTATTTTAACTTGCTTTGGTTAGAACAGTTGAGACTACAGAGGCAAAAAAAAAAGGTCTTTGTTCCCTTGTACTCTGAATTACAAGTTCAATGATGATTGAAGTTTTCCAGGCAGGGCTCTAGAGCAGGTTGGAGGAAGGCCTTACTTGCAGGTCTCAAAGGGAAAGGGCTGGTCACAATGGGCGTTGCTTTCCCATTTCTTCTGGGTGACGCTGGTGATTCCTCTCCCTCCGTGGTAGAATTCTGGAGGAGACTCTGGTGCAGTGCTACCTGCCTTTGTGCCTCAAACTGCATGAAGGTGTCTGCAGCAGCACGGGAGACTACAGGTTCTATGAAATCCCGGCCTTATCTGCAGAGCTCATCTGCAGGATGACTAAACTTCAACCACTACAGGTAAGTGGAATTAGTACCTCTAATACTGTGCTCAGGGAGGTATGGAGTTTCTAGCAGCCTCTATTTAAAAGGAAAAAAAAAAAAAAAAAAAAAAAGAAATGCACCAGTTCCCTCTACAATGGCCGGGGTGAGGCAGCATCATACAGTAGCCAAGTGCACATCCCACACACACAGCTCTGCACCCCTGTATCCCTGTGTCCTTGTCGCTTCCTCATCACTGGGACAAAATACCCAACACCTGCAGCTTAAAGGAGGTGAGCTTTATTTTAGCGCACGATTTCAGGTCATGGTCATTCAGTCCATGGTTGGCTAGCTCCAAGCAGAACGGTGTGAAGGAGAAAAAATTGCTCAACCCATGGCCACTAGGAAGCAGAGAGAGAAGGGAGGAGCCAGGGACCAGAACACACCCTCCCAGGTCTCTCCCAGTGACCCGCCTCTTGGGACCAAGCCCTACCTCTTAAGAGCACAGTCAGCTCTGCGCTCTGCAGTGGATGAACCCACTGATGCGCGTAGCGCCCCATGACCCGGTCACCTTCCAAAGTCCGCCTCCGGACACAGGAGACTCTTGGGCGACATTCTACCTCCAAACCACAGGGTGGTCCCAGTCTCTATGGGGCCCTTGCCCTTCACACCCCAAAAGGAGCTGTGTTCTGCTGTCTCCCTGCACAGGTCAGCCGTGGCCATCTCTGAGCATCAGGCTTTTGTGCCTGGTTTTCTCCTCTCACCTTTGTGGCTTCGACCCATCCTTGGAGCCGTGACATGAGGGGCTCTTTTTCATGGCTGTGATGTCACTCACCTGAGTGTTCTGTGGTTCTCTCTGAAAGTGATGTAGGATTTTATATTGAGACTGTTTCTCAACCTTATTATAAAACTCTGACTTTAGTAGAAAGTGATCACTAAATCTTAATCTTTTAACCTTATCCCTTCGAATTTTTCTTCAAGACAAAACAGAAACCCTTTCAGATTTAATTTTATTGGTAAAGGAAGCACTCATGAGTAAGCACTATTTAATCCATCATAGGCAGGTTCCAAGTAAATTGTGTCTGAGAAGTGTGGCGGTTATACAGGATTTATTTTTCTATGGAAATTATTGTCTTCATCGTTGGTTGAGATCTAGGGTTAGTCAAGTCCATAGTGACTGAGCAAGTACACTACCTATGCCATAAAAACAGAAAACCTTTGTATCACTAAAATTGAACAAAACAGACTCGACGGACAAGGGTTTGGCTTTTTGGTGGGATGGTAGGCTGATCGCTCAGGTGGAGAAAAGGAACACATCCAGGGGTCCTCTGAGTGCAGCCTTGGGTGCTTCCTTTAGGTTGCTTCTTTTTCTCTTTTCTTTTTTCTTTCTTTCTCTTTCAGTCGAGGATTGAACCCAGGGCCTTCTGACCCAGCTACATCCCACCTTGCAATCCTCTTGTAGCCTCCCAGAGTGCTGGGATTACAGGCGTGTGCCACCAGCCTGGCCCCCCTGTTTTTGTGATGGTGGTAGTTGAGGGGGTTGGGTCTGGAGTTTTGTTGGGGCTTACCACCTTTTCTGGGTCAGTTTGCCTCTTGACACCCTCACCCAGCCCTGTGCTGGGTGCAAGGGACCCCGAGACTGGTGCTGCATATAGCTGACACCATCCTTCGAGTTCACAGTGTGCTTGCGGATGAGCCTAAGGCATGGGTGCACCCTCCTGAGGCTTCTGGAACGTTCTGGAAGCTGCCATGCCATCTAGGGACCTTAAGCAAGGGGCAGTACGTTTTGCTTTCACTTGAGAGTTGACTGTGAAGTCCGCCTGCTCTCCCTGTTCCTCGGGTCATGCTGACTCCGAGCCACCTCCCGCTCTGCCCTCCGGGCCACCTGATCCTTCCTCCCACTCCTTCCTCCCTACCTTGGCAGAGGGCTATGGGATGGGCAGGGAGACACGCAGGGCCAGGTGCGGTGAGTTTACATAGGAAGAGGGGGCTGTTCTGCTCCGGTGGAGATCGGAGGAGGAAAGAAGGCATTGCCTTTCCCAGGAGCACCTGGGAAGAGGGCTGCTCAACCTCTTGGCCGGCAGACGGCTGTTTAATCATGTGGAGTGCATGGCCCACTGGCCCGGGCTCTCTGGAAGCTCTGGGTGTCCAGGGACATTCCTTACACCTGGTCTGGATGAGACAGGGCCTCCTGGGGACCCAGTCTGCAGGACTCTGGTTGGTGAGGCCGAGTGTGCTTGGGACCTTTATCAGAGGACACAAGCCCGTGCCCAGGCTTCTGGGAAGAACAAAATGCTTGTCCAGTGGGCTCTGGACAAGGCTTCTGAGCACTGGCAGGGATGAGGGAGCTGCAGAACAGAGCCAGTAACCATCTCACATCCTCACAGGACACTGCAGGCCCAGGGGCAGAAGCCAGCAGGGCTATGTTCCAGAGTGCTCTGACTGCCACTCGAAGCTGGCTCAGGAAAGTGTTGAAAATGAACATGTTGTACTCAGTGCCGTCGGCTGCCATGTTCTCTTACCCCACGGAGATTAAGGTAAGCTGCCAAAGGCACTGGGAGTCGGCATGGGCCACAGTGACCCATCACCACCTGTCAGCAGAGCCGCAGCCGGGCGCTTTGTGAGCCTTGCCCTGAATCTCAGTGTGCCGCCCAAGGAGGGGGCATCACTGTGGACCCGCAGGTGTCTGTGTGGCCCCAAGCGTAACAGAACCTCTGGGTAGGGCTGGCCTGGAGGACATAAGGGGTCTGTGTTAGGACGGAGGCTTTCAGTTAGGTGCATTGGCTTTGGAAACAAGGCAGATACTCATGGAGGAGCTGTTTTTGGGGAAACTGAGTCTGCCTTGAGGAAAGGGTCTTCACCCTGAGAGGCTGGACATGGAGAAGATTCCACAAGAGGGTCCCCCCAGAGTAGAGCGAGGAGGAACTGCTGGTGGGCTTGGTCTGTGGGGCCGTGGGAACCAGGAGCGTGAGCTGCAGTGCCCCCTGGACAGCACCAAGCATGGGGAGGCGAAGGCGGAGGTCTGGCTGCCCCTCGCCACCAGGCAGGCTCTGCCCTACAGCAGCAAGGTCTTTCTTCCAGCTCTGGGGAGCCTGGGGGTCCCCTCCTCCTTGCGCAGATCTCATTGAGGGATGAGTCAGTGGCCACGTGAGACATTGTTCCCTCGGAGACTGGAGCTGTGTGGCCCCTGGGGACAGCACTGCAAGGCACACGAGACAGCAGGCCAGTGACGGAGGCTGCCCTTTCGGCCAGCGCAGTCTCCTTCCTCGGCCACCTGCGCCAGTGGCCGTCACCTATTCCCACAGCTGACACCAGCCTGTGCTCAGCCGCCTGTAGCAGCCTCTGTTAGGCCCCTTCCACCAAGGCGGAGGCTTGCCCGCACCAGCCTGCGGGTATTCATTGAGGATGAGATGATCCTTCCCCGCCTGCTACCTGAAGTTTCAGATGCCACCCAAATGAAATTGAAGTGTTAATATGTTATTCTGCTACTTGGGAGGCTGAGGCAGGAGGATCACAAATTTGAGCTCAGTCTGGGGAACTTAGCAGCTTAGTGAGATCTTGTTTCAAAATAAAAAGTAAAAAAATTTCTTTAAAAGGCTGGGGATGTAGCTTAGTGTGAAAGGCCTGGGTTTGATCTCTAGTACTAAAAATACAAAACCAGAACATTCACACCCTGTAACCCAGTAGTAACGACTGATTGAGGCAAGAATATAGTGCAGGTTTCATTTTTATACCTGGAGAAGAGAGAACCTTTACAATGGAGAAACCCGACAGACCACGCCCCGTACCTGAGGTGTGGCCTGGCTGAATCAGGCTGGGGCAGAGGCACCCGAGGGATTCAGCTGGGGATCGTGGAGCGGTCCAGATACGCAGCTTTGCCAGACTTGCCCACAGTGCCTTCCCCCAGGCTTAGCCTGTAGTGTTCCTGCCCCAGGTACCCTAATTACCAGAAAATGATGAGTACATCGGATGGAGACACAGCATACGAAATAGCCTGAGGGCTTCATTATTGTCGACTTCATAAAAGTAAAAGCCAGGGTGCTTTTCTAAGGCAGAGACACGATGGAGTGTGTGTCCCATCTGGACCCTGGTCCATTCAGAGCATAAGTGGACCGAAGGAGGCACGGGGCGGGCAGCTCACACTCTGTCAGGTCTTGGGTGTTCTCCCAGATGGAGCGGCAGGGCAGGGGTGATGGCGACACCTGCCCCGGTGTGTACGCACGAGTGTCACAAAGTCTGCCACTCACCCGCAAGTGGTTCCGCAAAGATGGGAGAAGAGAGAGACAGACAGACAGAGGAAGCCACTGTATTAAGTGAGAAAAGCAGGACTGTGGTGAAAAGGATGCATGGGTCACTGCTGTCCTCGTGGACTTTTTTTTAAGTTTGGAGTTTTTCAAAATACAATACTGGTGAGAAATCCTTTCAGAGTCAAACCAGTTGTGCAGAGGGAAGGGCAGTGCTGGCTGCTAGTCCAGGGCCTGGGTTCACAAGGCCACATGGGCTGCTCCACTCTGACCAGCCGCTGACACTCACGAGTGATGACAATGGGACCAGAGCCAGGCATCTGTGTGGTCCGGTTCCCCGTATCCATCGTGACTGGTCTTTTTTGTTTGTTTGTTTTGCTTTTTGAGATAGGGTCTCGCTATGTAGTTCAGGTTGGCCTTGAACTTGCAGTGATCCTCCTACTTCGGGCACCCAAGTGCTAGGATTATAGGCATGTGCCCCTACACCTGGCTCTTTGATTGATTGATTGATTGATTGGCATTGGGATTGAACCCAGGGCTTTTACACTGAGCTTCATTACCCATACCTTTTAAAATTTTAAATTTTGAGACAGGGTCTCACCGAGTCACTAAGTTGCCCAGGCTGGGCTCACATT